GCTTTCCCTTTTCTGATTCTAAATCTAGTGGTCCTTTTTCTAACTGTACTGCAACACCTTCGAAGAGTGTACTAATTCATTGAGAGTTGAGAGTTCACATCTAGTATATACAGAGCTGGGCCAAGGGTATGAAGAAATGCTTTGAATGGCTTCACACTGGTTTCCTCTTCCAAATTCCACTATTTCACCATCTTTCCAACCTCCTAACTTTGCAAACTTGGCATTATCCTTGGTTTCTCACTCTCCCTCACCCTAGATATCTGATCAGTTGCCAATTTTTGCTGTAGTTACCTCTACAATTTCTGTCACATCTGAACCATTCTCTTCATTCAGAAAAGGTACCATCCTATTTTAGGATCTCATCAGCTTTCACCTAGATTATTGCAAGTCTCCTAATTACCTCAAGTATCTTCTCAAATGCTGCTACACAATGCTGCCAAAATGATTTTCCTTAACCATACAACTGACTGGGTGACTTACTCAAATTCTATTGCTTCTTGGATAAAATATTAATTCTTTATTAAGCTTTTAATATTTTTCACAACCTGGACCCAACCTCTCTTTTCAACCTCAGTTGGACATTATAACCCAACCCCACTTCAAGCTAGCAAAACTAATCTTTTCTCTGTTCCTCACACACAATATTCCATTTTCTGCATGCACTAGCCGTAGTCTATGACTGAAATGCATTACCTGCTTACCTCCATCTCAGAGAATTCCTTTCTTCTCTAAAGAATGTAATTCTAGCACCATCTTCTATGTTCCTGTTTCTCCAATTTGCTAATGTGTTCCCTCCCAAAGTATTTACTCTATATACATTTATATTTATTCCTTTTTATAATTATACTGTACACACACACACACACACACACACACACACACACACACACTTGTTGTCTCCCTCATTAGAACGCAAGTTCATTCAGTCAGTCAGTTAGCAAATAAACATTTATTAAACACCTACTATGTGTTAGGTACTATGTTAGCATTTATGGAGCACTTTAAGGTTTACAAAGTACTTTATAAGTAATATCTGATTTGATCCTCACAGCAACCTTGTAAAGTAGGTGATGTTATCCCCATTTTACATAGAGGAAACTAAGGCAGATAGAAATTTAGTGACTTCCCAGAGTCACACAGCTAGTAAGTGCCTGAGGTTGGAATTTAACTCAGGACTTCCTAGCTCTAGGTCCATCACTCTATTCTCTGCACCACCTACCTCTGTGAGTGGAAGATGGACTGGAGTGTAAATAAGCTTGTGGAAGGGAGAACAAACAGCAGGATTTTGACAGGCATGGCAAACCATGAAGGCCTCTCCCAAGGTGGAAGCACCATCAGAGAAGAAGAGGGGGATTATACCAATGATGTTGTGAAGGTAAAATTAAAAAGGCCCTAGCAATATATTCAATATGGGAGGAGAGAGAGAGAGAGGGAGAGAGAGAGAGAGGGAGAGAGAGAGAGAAAGAGAGAGAGAGAGAAGTTGATGATAATATCTAGATTGCTAGCCTGGATAAGTGGGAGGATGATGGTATCCTTAACCATAGGGAAGTTAGGAAGAAGGGAGGGTTTTGGAGGAAAGATAATGAGTTCAGTTTTGGAAATGCTGAGTTTAAGATGTATATGGGACATCTAGGTCTAGATATCTAATAGGTGCTTGGAGATGTGAAACTAGGGGTTGGCAGAGAGATGAGGGTTGGTTAAGTACATCTGAGACTTAGCAGCATAGAGATGATAATTGAATCTATGGATGCTGATGAGATCATTAAGTGAAGTAATAGAAAGGGAGAACAGCTCAGTTACCTGGATGAAGATCCAGCAAAGGAAACTGAGAAGAAGCAGTCACATGGATAGAAGGAGAACTAGGAGAGGACAGTCTTATAAAAATCTAGAGAGAAGAGAATATTAAGAAGTGTCAAAGGCTACTGAGAGGTCAAGGGTAATGATTGAGAAAATGCCATTGGTGTGGCAGTTAAGATTGTTAGTAAAATTGGATAGGCAAGTTTTGATTGAATGATGAGGTCAGCAGGAAGACTATAGGGAGTTAAGAAGAGTGAAAGGAAAGTAAGTGGAGTCATCTATTATAAGACCTTTTCTAGGAGTTTACCCACAAATGGAAGGAGAGATATGGGATGATAGCTAGGTAACAGGGATGGATGGATCAAGTGAAGGTATTTTGAGGATGAGGGATTCATGGGCATTTTGTAAACATTAGGGGATCAGTTAGTTGACAGAGGGAGAGTGAAGATAAATGAGAAAGCAGAGATGATGGAGAGGGCAAGCTGTTAGAAAAGATGAGATGGATTGCAAGTAGTGATTTTTTCCCTTTTTTGCACTTATGTTTCCAGTGCCTTATACAGTGCTTGGCACATAGTAGGTACTTAAAAAAAAACCTTGTTTGATTGAGCATGAAAAAATATCTTACATCTTACATACATAAAACCATCCATACTCCAGTCAGACATTTACAAGCTGTATGACCTGGGGCAAGTCACTTGACCTTTCTTAGCCTCAATTTCTTTAACTGCAAAATGGGGATAATTATAGCACCTACCTAACAGAATTGTTGTGATGATCAAATGAGTAAAGTAAAGCACTTAAAAAAGATTTAAAGTGATACATAGATATTAGCTCTTATTTTTATTAGTCAGTGATTGAAGATCTGGCTAAGTCTCAGATTCCTCAATTCTGACCATCAGTTCTCATACCCTCCCAAGTAGCTAGAGAAAGTATGTGGGAATAGCTTGAGCATGGAGTAACCACAAGGAATGCCCTAGAAATGTTTTTTTTTTTATTACGTCCATGACATGAGTTTGTTTTCTTGTAGTTTACCTTCTTCCCTTAAAATGTGTGGCAGCAAAAGCTTCAGTCAATTAGAGTCTTTGCTTAGGCGGGTTTTCAGTTAATTGAGGTTTCACTTCTTACAAAACCAAGCACTCTATTTCTCAGCTTGACAATGACCTTTTCCCCTCAGGATTCAAACAGGAATTTTTTTTTGTACCTCTCTAAAAGATTTATTTTATATTTTTTTTATTTTTTATGAACTATCTTACTCCCCTACCAGATTATAAGTTTTGTGAGGCAAGGACTGCATGGGGTTTGTTGAAACATCCTATCTTTCCAGTTCTCTGCTTGCTATAATAACAAATATTTGTTCAATTGAATTCAAATGATCTGAGTCTGCCTTCACCCAAAGCATTAATGAACCTAACACTGCCACACACAGCATCATCCTTGCCTGGGTGATTTAGTGATTCTAAGGTAATTAGTGATTCTAAGGTAATTAATACATTTCCTTTAAAAGTATTGGCATGATCAGTGGCATTCTATGCTGATGTGAGGAAGGCTTTCACAGGGCACTGAATGATTAGGAAATTACCTAAGATTAATATTTGGCTCTCTGGAGTTATTGATGGAATTGCTACCAGTACTCCAAATAACTAATTAAACTGGATGCCCTCAGGGACAAAGTTATGTCAATTTCATTGCTATTATCACAATTCTACTTTCCTAAGCTTAGACTCTGGAGAATGCTATAGTAGTTACTGGAGGAATGATCAAATTATGCACAATAGAAAAAATGAGTGGGAAATAGCTAGCCAATAATAATAATAATAATAATAATAATAATAATAAAGGCTGGAATTTCTATAGTGCTTTAGGGTTTATTGACCACTTTACATTCACCATCACATTTGAGTGTTACAACTTGTGAAATAGGGAATATTATTCACTTTAGCCATGCACAGGAACGGTTGTCATTTTATCTAACTATACCAACAAAAATACCATAGTCAAAATGTAGAGACTTTTATATACAAAAAGTATAAACTTTAAAGTTTATACTGTGTTTTATGTAGACAAGTTCACAAGACTTCCACAACTCTGTCAGGGAGGTATATTTATCCCCATTTTATGGACAAGGAAACTGTGGCTCAGAGAATTTGAGTGACTTTCCATTGTCACTCAATATGTTGTAGGTAGGATTTGAACCTTTCTGTTGTGATACAAAGTCCCATCAGTCAGTCAATAAACATTAATTAAATACTTATTATGTGCCAGGCACTGTGCTAAATTGTCTTTTACATTACAAAAATAGGTTTCACTGTGCTTCTATCCTCTAATGTAAAATTATTTCAACCTCTATCTGCATATCATCACACCTGAGTAGTAAATCAAATATGGAACATAAATTAGAATTCAAAAAATTCATCTAAAGATATAACTAATACTTGGTTTACAGCATGCTTATGATGTCCATGATGTAGCACACAACATTAGGGGAAAATGATAACATTTTTTGTTTGTGTGAAATGTAATCTCCTCTGTGATATATCTGATTCATTTATGTTCTGTCATTCTTATTTCTGGTGATCTAATCCTCCTTGAAAGGGATTCTATTATTTTAGATAGTATATAGTCTAATAAATTCTTTGTAATTAATTCAATGTCTTTCCACTAGAAATTGTATGTGACTTATTTCCTGTCATCAGTAGGGGGAGAAAACACATGTGACAAACGTGAATATTTTAACAAAATTCCTTCTGAATCATTATGTAGGACAGAAAGGAAAATGATATTCTAGAAAATTGAATATCGGGATAACTTGCTGAGTCCTTCAATTTTTACGTGGTTATTTGGTCTTCTGTTAATACAATCTGCAAGACAAACTCATCTCTTCAGCCTATATTCAGAGAGCAGGTTGTTACTGGGCATCAGTTCAAGAATATCACAATTAAAAGCCTTTTCCAAGTATGAAAATTAAACATTTCCTCTTCACTTTTTATTTCTCTGATAATACATGGTATCACATATATGCTTAGCATGATTGTCATGGATTAACCAATACTTACATGGTAAATTACATTTTGTTATCAGAAAATAAACCAAACTTTATTAGAATGAAGAAAAAAATATTTTTCTAACATCTGACATATATGACAGTGATTTCCTATACTGGCTATTAAGAGTCAAAGGTTACTAATAAAGGATATATTACTTACCCCTGTCCTTTGAACTTCCATGAAAATGGCTCTTTGGAATGATTTTTCCCACACAGCTAGCTCGCTCCCTAGCTCTACATTGAAAAAGTGACTTTTCCCCTGTCCAACCATAACACTGAAGCAATATGGCCGTTGGTCTTCCAGGTCATAGTCCTGGTGAAGACCTAGGTAAAAGTTTGCTTGTAACCAGTAGTCATCAGCAAGCCAGAGCTGAAAAACATAGAATAAAAGTTTATTTGTTTGTTTTAATTGCTGGAAAGGTCTTAAGAACACAAAAAGGCATGTTAGATATGGAGGGTGCACAGAATATCAGAGGTAGAAGGGATCTTAACACAGAGGAAATATGTTTGAGAGGACCTTGGAAGGTTGAATATTAGAATACAGAATGTTAGAAAGGACCTTACTTGTCATTTAACTAAATCTCTTTATTTTAGAGAGGAAAAGGAAACCTAATAAGTAGAGAACTGAAGTCAATTGCTTGAGTACACAAAGTGAATAAGTAAAAGAATTAGGAGTAGAACTGCCAGGTCAGTCTTCTTTTTATTATGTAGTATATAAGTATGTGTATATATATATGATAAATATGATATATGATAATATATACTATATTAATAATAAAATGCATTTATGTAATATCCATGAATAACATAGTAAAATCCTTAAATATAACCTGGCAGTAGAGATTATTATCTATATATTGGAGAAAGGTCTCAAATGTTGATGGGACCAATGGGAAATACATATCATTGTGCTGAAATAAGTAATTGCTCTTTTGTGTAAGAACACAAACATGTGAGGAAGGTAATATAGTCATTATTATTCTTACTGTTCAGATGAGGAAACTCAGGTAGAACAGATGAATTGTACATGGAAATAAACCTAGAATGTACTGGAGTCAGGATTCAGACCCAAGTCTCTTCTGACTCTAAGTCTTGTCTTCTTTCCATTGCCCATTATATAGGCATTACACACACACACACACATACGCATATATATGAGTGTGTATATGTATATGTGTATGTATCTATGTATATGTACACTAGACCTATTATTTCATTGGTATAAAGAAAAATATGAAATATCTATATGTCCACTTCTATCCTTCTGTCTATCCTTCCTTCTTCCTTCCCATCTCCTGTCCTCTCCTCTCCATCCCCTCCTCCTCTCATCTCCTCTTTTTCCTCTCCTCTTCCCATCCTTCTTTCTTCCTCCTTCTTGTTCTTGTTGCCATTGTTATTCTTCTCTCTCCCTGTCACTAGCTCCTTCTCAATGCATATATTGTGTTTGAGTAACAGGAGAGAGAGAGAGAGAGAGAGGGAGAGAGAGAGAAGGAGACTATCTGACCTTTAGACCATGTGACTCTGAATAAGTCACTTGACTTTACTGTCCTCTGGCAACTCTCTAAAGAATATAAATTGCAGAGTAGGTGCTGTTCTGGATGTTCTATATGGGCAGATGAATTCTCTCCCTCTCCATCCCCTCACCCCCAAAGAGGTTCCTCCACTGATGAAATAAAAAGTCCAACTTAAAATAACATGGGCATGTATGTATTTATATAGAGAGAATTAACTCCTCAAAGGCAGAATTGTTGGTTTTACCTTTGTAACCTCAGCACACAGAACAAAGCCTTACACACAGTAGGAAGTAGATTTGTGTTTGTCAAATTGAATACAAAGCAAATTCATTGACTGACAAATGTTTTTATTTCATTAGTTTTAATAGAAAAATTATTATTTAGAAAGATTATGGATGGTTTTACTTTGCCTGAAAGAAGTTATCCATAAATTTATTTTTCTTTTTTGGAGAGGAAATTTAATGTTACTGGAGTGGATTCTACTTCATCATTAAAAAGGTATGTCTTAGATACACTTCTCAGATGATGTTCATAATTTTAGTCACGACTGCAATCAAAGCACTGATTGATGCAATTTTCTCATCAATTTCATGGCTGATGTAGAAATTTGGTATAGATATAATTTTAATAGGTGGAAGAAAAATAACCTCTAGGGAGAAAAGAGCACCACTGAGAAACAAAATAATTTCTTAAAACTTGTTTCTGGCCTAAACATTGATAGATATAATTATGGAAGGGGGATTATGAACACAGATCACAAAGAAAAATTGAACTGAGAAGTAATAGTTTGTTTTCTGATTGTACATTTACTCTAATTCCTGAAATATAAATTAAATTCATGTAAGAGAAATTAAAGATGGGAGAGAATCAATATCAAACTTATAAGTTATGCTAGATAAAAATTAATTTTTTGTATGATGGTTTAGTTTCAAAAAAAATCCTACAATGTTTCACACAGGCAAAATGAATAGGTTCAGAAGGTATTGTTAGAGATAAAAAATTATGTTCCCAAATTTATGACTGACTAATTATTGTGACCCCTTGAGTGTACTCCGAGAAGCTTTCAGTAACACAGGACTTGTGATGAGGAAAGTAAAGTCGGGCATGGTTTGACATATTCATTCATTCAATAAGCATTTATTAAGTGCCTACTATGTATCAAGCACTGTGCTAAATGCTGAGGATGCAAAAACAAGCAGAAGACAGTCTGCCCTCAAGTAGCTTACAATCTCATGGGAAAGACAACATGCAAACAAATACATACAAGGCAAGTAATACATAATAAATAAGAAATAAAAATTAACAGAGAGAAGGCACTAGAATTAAGAGGGGTTGGGAAAGGCCTGATGTAAAATACTGTGAGTATGATAGGTGGATCATCTCACTCACATCTCAACTCTCTTTTCGGACTTCTCCTAATAAACTACTTTCCCAACCCTCCAGAAACCTCAGCCCTGTGGCTCTGTTTGCCTGACTGGAGATGTATTCTCCTATACATCTTTTCCCTTTATTCTTCCTCCACTTCCAGCTCCCCTTTTTTATTGTTTTTCTTTAAGGCAAGGCCCATCTCATTTGCTTTTGTTTGTATCCCTATTGCTTGGCACAGAACCTGGCATGTAGCATGGGCTTAATAATTTTGCTCTCTCTCTCTCTCTCTCTCTGTCTCTCAGCCCCCTCATCTATCTTCATGTTTAATCTGTCTATCTATCTATCTATCTATCTATTTATCTATCTATCTATCTATCTACATATCTATCTATGAATCTATGTAAATGTATCTCTGTATCTACCTATCTATCTATGTATCTATCTATCTACCTAATAGTATACATATATTCTGTTTCAGACCACATCTTAAGTATTGCATTAAAATCTGGAAGCCACAATTTAGCTTGGACATTGGTAAACTGGAGAGTGTCAAACTGTACTGGAATGGTGATGGTATGAAACATCAATCATGCCATGAATGAAGGAACTGGGGATGTTTTTCTGGAAAAGAGAAGATTTAGGGTCAACATGGTAATTGTTTCTAATTAGGTGAAAGCTTGTTACTCAGAAGAGGAATTAGCCTTGTTTTGCTTGGTCCCAGTGAGTAAAACTAGAAGCAGCAGCTGCAAATTCAACTGGGCAGATTTAGGCTTGCTAGAAAACTTCATAATTAGATTTATACAAAATTGGAATGGACTCGCTTGGTAGATAGCAAGTTCCACCTTAGAAGAAGTCTTCATGCAGTGGTCAGATAACCATTTGTCAGGTAAGTAGTAGAGGAGATTCTTGGTCAGGTTTAAGTTGGCTGAGTCAGATAGCTTTGATGTTCTTTCCAACACCAAGATTCTGAGCTTCTTTCTGTATTACTCATTGCACAAGAGTCTTCCCAGGGACACACAATGTACAAGAACACATAGAGCAAGAAATCAGTCTCCTGCAGAACTACAATGCTCTACCATAAAGAGATCTCAACTGTGTTTCCTGCTTTCCTCCCTGCAAACATAATCAGGTCTACAGTCCCAGAATAATGACTAGCTTACAAAAAATCAATCTATAAGGATGGCTATCTCTGTCTGATTTTTTTAAAGTAGGCTATACGAAAATTCAGTGTCAGAGAAGCTGATTCTTTCATGTCAAGGATAGTGGCAACAGTCCCTTACTTATTCTACAAATTAATTGCCCTGACTTCATGGTTGTAGTAATATGTATAAGTATCCTTTAAAAATTTGAAATGAGAAAATGTTCGCTAACTTAAATGAATGCTTTTTAACTCTCATGTGCTCCAAGTTATACAACTATCAATAAGGAAGTAAATAATTCAAGTCTAACATCTTTGTTTTCTAGTATCTGTTACATTACTCAAGAATATAAATGGAATTAGTTTTACATCTTGAATTCCCAAAAGTTGGATTTTTCATTTCTTTGTCAACAAAAGAGTAGCCTCAAGATAAACTGAAAGTCCCAGAAGTTAAACTTGGCAGAATACATTAACATTTGAGTAATGTTGAGCAAGAAGTCAGCAATTATAATCACTCCATAAAACTTTTAAAAATCCTTTTGAACATGCAAGAGTAGTAACATAGTTCAATGAAAAGAACACTGGATTTGAAGACAGAGAACCTATGTTTAAATCCTGCCTCTGAAACTTATTACCTGTGTGACCTTGAACAAATTATGTTAATTTTCTAGACTTAGTTTCCTCATCTGTAAAATAAGAAGCTTGGAATAAATGGTCTCTCAGGTCCCTTCCAATTTTAAATTTATAATCTATTCTAAATTATAATCTAAGTCTAAATTTATAACCCTCCATCATTCAGGTCAATGGAGCCCACAGACACATACTGAACTAAAAATGTACAAATCATCTGTATAAAGATTTACATATTACCCTCATTCCCTGCTCTTTGATCCAATCTCTGGAGAAGAGGCTCTTCATACCAATTCTACCTCTTTTACTAATAATTCAGTCTGTCAACAGCATTTATTAAGCTCTAACTATGTGTCAGGCACTGCACTATACACTGGGGTACAAAGAAAGCCAAGGATTTTACAATCTAATGGGGGAGACAACATGCAAACAACTGTACACAAACACAATTTCCATAGGATATATTGAAGCTAATCGATGGTAGGAAGGTGTTAATATTAAGAGAGATCATCCTACTTCCATTTTTCATCACTTCTGACCTGGACTATTGCAATAGTCTTCTGTGATATGATGAAATAGTCTTCAGTTCTCTTTGTATATGGCCTCTTTTTTCTTCAATCCATCATAAACACAATTGCCCAATTGATATTCAAAAAGCATGTCTGACTATCTTATTCCCTTGTTCAAGAAACTTCAGTGGCTCTCCTATATCCTCTGGGATAAGATACAAATACCTCTTTTAATCACTTAAAGTGCTTCACAATTTGGCTTCGCTCTTTCTTTCCAGAGTAATTACACATCTTTCCTCTCATGCACTTGATGCTCCAGCTGAATTAGTCTATTTACTGTTCTGGCAGCTGGTGGCACATTTGATAGAGGACTGATCCTAAAAAGAACTGAGGACAAATACATTTACTAGCTGTGGGACCCCAGGTAAGCCACTTAAACCTCTGTTGGCCTCAGTTTCATCAACAGTAAAACAGGGATAATAATAGCATCTACCTTATAGAGTTACTGTGAGGAGCAAATGAGATATTTAAATAACTTAGTAAAATGTTTGGCACACAGTAGGCACTATATAAATGCTTATTATCCTTGCCTCTATCTACATGGCATTCCATTTCCCACCTTTGTGCCTTAGCATATGTTGTCCCTATAAGCATCGACTGAAGACCACCTACAAGAGACCTTTCTGATTTTCCCAGTTGTGACCTCTCCACTATTACTTTGGATTTGCTATCTGTCTTTCTCTGTCTCTGTCTCTCTCTCTATCTGTGTATCAATTTATCACTTGCATTTAATTATCTGTGAGTATGTTGTAGTCTTTCATTTGAATATAAGCTCCTTGAGGGTAGACAAGAGCTATCTCACTTTAAAAAAAAAATCCTCAGCCCATAGCAAAGTGACTGTGCTACATAAGTTTTATTAAGATACTTAATAAATGCTTTGTGATTCACTGATTGATTCAAAGGATAGATAAATTGAAGGATTCGGATCACAGAGTGCTAGATCATCATGGAAATTGAGATCTTAGAGGGACCTTTAAACACTTCATTTACAGATGAGGAGGTTGAAGTGATTTGCCCAATGTCATATAGCTAATTACCAATTAAGAACCCTAGATGTTCTTAATTGAATACAATTCTTTTGAAGTTTTTATGTCATTTCAAATTCTTTCATTTCAGATGTACTATTCAAAACTTCTTGTGTATAATGCTATGTTTTGATTTGACATGTTTATATAATTTGAGACTTTGTGAAGAAATAATTTTCCTCAAATAATAGTCTTATTTCTTCAATTGACCCAATTTACCTAACTTTACTTTCCATATTACACTGCCTAACTTTTCCAAAAAAGATAAATAATCTCAAATAATGTCATGTATTTCACAGATATCATGTTCCTTTACATTGACAGGTCTTGTTAGTACATGGCAGACAGCCCATACTAATGCAATTTTATTAGGAACAGTTAAAATTTGATTTGAGCAGCAAGAGATTAACTAGTTTGAAATTATCCACACTAAATCAGATGCCTTTGCATGTTTGATTTAAATGCCATGGATAAAATGGCACTTATATTACCAATGATGTCTTCTGATAGTGAAAGCCACCAGTAAGTATACATCAGTCTTGACTAGGCTAGACATGAGTCCCTAGGGATTATTGGGATATCTAGAATGTTTTAAAGTTATTATTAAATTCAAGGGTACATCTGAAAGATGAAGTATTTGTTTTTTCCCCTATTATCTGAAACCCCAAACTCTCTTGCTTACTTGAAAATGTCTCATTTCTACAGTATGCTTACCTTGTGAACTTTAAATAGTACCTCACAGAGGTTATAGATTTTTTCAGCTCGTACCCAATCTAATGTACTCACCTGTAAGAAAGAGAAAATGCACATGTAAACAGATGCTTTCCTTTATGTCAGATAATGCAGATTACCTGCAAATATAAAAAGAAACAATAAGCAGATGTGATTAGTAATTGATATATACAGTATATCAAATGAGCACTAATTAGTTGGCAATAGTCACCTGCACATACTGTATATATCAATTACTAATCACATCTGCTTATTTTAAAAGGAAAATATGGATATATTCAAAATGTATTCAATTTATTAGATATAATGCAGAAAACTCTGATCTAAGAATGTATTGATAAATAGCTCTACGGGTAATCCACTGTGACTTGGAATCTTCTCCCTCAAGTTACTAGCAAAGGAGTCAAATTAAGAGGGATTATGACTAACTATAGAAAGGCATTAGTGTATTAGTATTTGGAGCAGTATGACATGGTGTAAAGAATACTAGATTTGGAGTAATGGACCTGAGTTCTCATCCTGGATGTACCAATTGATACCATTGTGAACTTCTTCAAGTCACTCTCTCTGCCTCAGTTTCTTTTATCTATATAATCAGGAGGTTTAATTAGATGACCTCTAAGATCTTTTACACCTCTAGATTTGTTGTCCTATAACCCTATGTGACTCTCAGGTCAAATTCTAGCTCTGTTACCCATTGGGTATTGGGCAATTTACAACCTCCCCAGGCCTCAGTTTCATCTTTTCTAAAAAAAAAAGGGGGGGGGGTTTGGTTTATATGATCTCTAAGTTCTCTTTCAACTCTTAATCCTGTCTCTACCTGCATTAATAATTATTGTGACCAAACTAAGTAGATCAGTCACAGAAACAATCAGTCAATTTGACTAACTTAAAAAATTTACTTGACTGATTAAAAGAGTGTAGGAGCTGCAGTTCTATACCAAAAATGGATTCTTAGTTGTGTTATCTATGTTTCTCTTACTCTTCCACCACTAAGGATAATCAAAAGTTCGCTGAATTATGTCTCTCAAGCACCAAAATCACTGCAAGAAACTAAATTAATTTGTTTCATCTTGCAGTAAATTTTTTATTAAATAAAATTCTGAAGATGTACAAAATCTGAAACTCCAAAGTCATTAAATTTTCCTAAATGTTCTTCCAACTTTAAGTTAATGATGTGAATAAAAACTACACTTAGTGTATTGTCATTTAATATTTAATTGGTTGAACAGTCAACTCACAGATCCTGATAGAAATAGACTAAATCAATCTATTAGCAAAAAGCAAAGAACAGTCAATTCAATAAGTAACTGGTGTGTTATTTACTTACTTTTTTTAAAAAAAATAAAGAATTAAAGCCAGAGAAATTAAAATCTCACATTAGTTATTGATAGTTTAAAGAACTCTGTAATAAGAATTTTGGAGGAAGTACTATGTTTTCTGAGACCCTTGGTTAGTAACAGATGCAGCTTCTAATAAAACTGCCTTTCTGCAATTACAGTAATTTCCATTATGATCCTGGAAACTGACCCAGTTATTGATCTTCCTAGGATTTCAAAAGTACTACCCCCCTCAAATTTTTATAGCTTCTGTTGCTGATACATTCACAGAATTATTATATCATTACAATGAAGTGATTTATATATTCACATAATTAAAGCTGTATTTTTTTGGTAAATTGTCTACATAAGGAGAATCAGTTGGTTTTATGGTGTATCTTAAGAATAGCAAATGTGTTTACAGATCATTGTCATATTTAATGTCTTCACTTCAGAAATCATGGTTGAGATACCTATTTTCTCTCTGTCTTTTTTCCTTTGTTTTTTCATCTTCTTCACTACAAGATGAACTTCTCTTATGGCCTTTCCTTTATTATTGCACTGTCATTTCCGCACCATTTGAGGTATATAGATCATGTATTCTGGGAAGGGTTTATATCTTTAGCAGTGTATTCAATATATGGAGGACCACTTAGTATAGACAAGGTACAAAATGTCATTTATGTTACATTAATGACCTATTAACTTGACATTTTCAGCTGTTCTCTGTATCTTCAGTGTGACAAGAAGCCATCCCCTCCCTGTGCCTGAATGGATCAATGTTTGATCGTTTTCTCTCTATATACTTTTAATGTTTTCCCTTTAATTCATAGAATCATAGAATTAGACGGGACCTTAGAGACCATCAAATCCCACTTACACCTGAACAAGAATTCCCTTTTTGTCTGGAGATTTCCAATACAGGGGAACCCACAACTTCCTAAGGTATTCCATTCCACTTTTGGAGATCTTTAATTGTTTAAAAAGTTTTCTTTATGTCAAGCAGAAACTGCTCAGTGACCTTTACTCATTGATTTTTAGTTCTGCCCTTTGGGGCCAAGCAAAGCAAAGTTAATCGTTCTTCCATGCAAAAACTCTTTAAGCACTTGGAAACCATCTTTCCTTAGGGTTAAAATTGCTGCTCATGCACTCTCCAAAGAGCCCTCTGCAAACATATGTGCATACATATGTATATGTATTTGTTGTTATTCAACTGTGTCTGATTTTTAGTGACCTCATTTGGGTTTTCTTGGCAAAGACAGTGGATTGTTTTGCCATTTCCTTCTCTAGCCCATTTTTACAGATTAGGAAACTGAGGTAAACAAGTTTAAGTGACTTGCTAGGGTCACACAGCTAGCATCTGAGGCCAGTTTTAAACTCAGGAAAATAAGTACTGAATTCATGCCCAGCACTCTATCTACTGTGCTAGCTCTCTCCCTCTCTCTCTCTGTCTATCTGTCTCTCTCACACATGTATGTATATATGTATATGTATGTAGGTTATAGGCATACACACATACATACACCTATACATACATATACACATGTGTATATATACATACATATATGCATGTATATGTATGTATATGTGTGTGTGTGAGAGAGATAGAAAGAGAGAGAGAGAGAGTGAGAGCGAAAGAGAAGGTTTGGTCTTAATACAGGTAGATTATAGGTTTTGTTTTTCCTTTTTGACAGTTGGGAAAGAATATATTATTCAGCTCTCTGCCTTTTCCTCCAATTAATGTAGTCTTACTCATTTTTCAAGGCTTAATATTCAACTCCTTGACAGAGTTGTCTCTGATCACTTCAGCCTTAAGTGAATCTTCTCTTCCCTAAAGCCAAGAGCACTCCACTGTCTGTATCATTCATTTGACATTTATCCAAGTTGACTTGAATCACAAATTGTCTTTTTAAGTACCTATCCTGATACCTCAACCCCATAAAAAACTCCTTGAAGTCAAAGACGGTGTTTTATGCCACTCTTCATTTTCCATATCACCTTACAAAGTGTATTAAAAGTAAATTCTTTTTGATTGATTGATTTGAATAAATGTGTAAGATTAGATATGGTATATATTAAGGATGTAACATTAATTATATAAAATGGTTGAACAATCCACATGTGGTGACAGAATGTCTGTGGTTAGGAATCTTGGTTGTTTTCAGTGCTGATAAGCCTAATCTCTTTTAATATACTATCAGTATGACTTCCATATTTACCTGTGAGGGTATGAAGCTAAGAATTATCTTATTCATCACAAATACCAAAAAGGAACTAAAAGTACATATTTGTTATTCTTGAGGCATCATTTTACCATAACAATTTATTGTGTCATTCAGGGATCCTTCTAGTTCTGTATTTTGAAGTTATAACTGTTAAAACTAGTTAGGGAAAAACTGTGATAATAAGTAATCTGGTTCCCAGGTGAGGATTTGTATTTAAGATCATGTAAGCATTATTATAGGATTTTGTTTTTAGGTGTCTGACTCAAAAGACAGAAGCTTTCTTTTTGTAATAAAATCATATTAAACAAAGATTAAATCAAAATGGCTCAAGGCACAGAAAACTAGCCAAAAGCAAATAGACATAAGTAAAAGACAAAAGTATTATTCAACAAATACGTTTTGTATGGTCAGTGATCTAGTAATCCAAATGAAAATTTCCAAATGATGGCCTTTGAAGTAAATCCCATTCCGAGAAAATTGTTTATATCAATATACACGATGACAAAATATACAAAGACCAACAAAAGGCCTCTGTCTCCATAAATGAATAAAAAAAACATTTATTAAGCCCTTGCTATGTAGAAAGCATTATGCTAAGTGCTGGGGGGACAAATAGAAAAAACTAGGCAATCCTTACTCTCAGAGCTCACATTCTAATAGAGGACACAACACATATTAGAAGGTTTCAGCTACAAGTCAGGTGGAAAAGTTCCATGGACCACAGAATGCAAAACAGATGTCATTTAATGTCTTTAATGTCATTTTTACTGATTAAATCATATCAGTTTCTAAAGTTGAATCATTTGTTATTGCCAAGTACTTTGGTTGCAAGAAATTCCTTTTTTTGAGTCCCTGGTAGCTGTGGCTGTAATATTTGTAGAAGAAGTCAGGCTTCTGAATCTCCACAGGGATTACTTCCTAGGATGATAGCAGAGGGTACTATGCTGGAAACATTGCTATTTTAAAGGCTCTTGGGTTTAGAGTCCTCAGCTATCTCCATAGGAATGAGAAGGGAGATGGTGGTAAAGGTTGTGGTGGTGATTTGATTTGCTTGGCATGTGCTGTTTTGTATTTCTCCCTCTGTGAGCCTTACTGCTTCAGAAAGGTTGGCCTACCTGCCTTGTGGGTGGCAAATGGTTGGCAGCTCATGGAAATGTCTGACCCCTTCTTCATAGGAGTTGCTTCCATTGAGGTTAACTGTATGAGCTAGGCTGGAAGCAGCACTGGTGGTCTATGGAGTACTGTATCTGTCTTTGTTGTCAAAGGCAATAATCCAGTGTAATGGAACTGAATCTGGACTGTGTTTCCAATGTGACTGTAGCGAAAGAATGTAAGATCTAAAGTATAAGTGTTTATCATTCAGAATCTGTAGAAATGCCCTGGTTTAAGAAAACCTATTATTAAGTGAGGTAATAAAAGTAACAGAACAGATGGATTAGGCCATAACTCATATAACAGAGGGGTTCTTCACTTTGGAAATTAATGTTCTCCCTTAGCCACAGGTTTTGGA